CTGGATGTAGGCTGGGACCAGGGGAGGAATGGCATCCACCTGGATGTAGGCTGGGACCAGGGGAGGTACGGCATCCACCTGGATGTAGGCTGGGACCAGGGGAGGTACGGCATCCAACACTGGCGGCTTGATCCTGCTCAGTGATGCTGGAAGTGCTGCATATGTCTCCAACCTGACGCTGGAATGTGCCGCTGGTCAAAATCCCCTGAATACTTTCTATTTGTAGTTTCACTGTTCTACCACTAGATCATGTGCGTACGCATGGTCAGAGCTGTGCGTATATTTACGCACATTCCTAAGTACAAGTTGGTAAATTCTGTATTTTGCGAAGGAATGTTGGTACGCACTGATGATAAATGAGGTCCCAGGACCTCCGTCCGGTCCAGTCTGGTCGTGCTCAGCGTGCTCTACTTGGCTACTGAGGAGAGTTGGACTATGATGAGCGGCTTTGGATGGAGCGGACCTTCCTAGGCCGAGCCGTTCTACAGCTCTGTCTCTGAAGAATGTGATCACCCCGGCTAGCTTCTTGTCTGTTTCTGCTCATCTGACTGACAGAATCGGGCTCTGAGTGCTGCCCCTGTAGAACCAGTGCTGGTTCTGGGGGGACTGGTGAAGGCCCAGCTGAAGGTGGAGCCGCGTCCTGTTAGCTGCTGGCGGAGAACGTGCAGCCTTCATCGCAGGAGGACCGTTGGGACGTTCTTTGCTGCTGCTGCTGCTGACTCGGACTACAGCGACACACTGTTGGCTTCGCTGTAGTGGACTGGTACTGTTGCATCTCTGGGACATTTTCTGTTCGTTTTGTCTGGAAGTGATGGTTTCTTTGGGATTTTTGTTTCCCTCCAGTGAATTGTGGAAGTGACTTTTAAAACTAAACCTCTCCTCTCCTATTTGTTGCTGATGCATTTGATGTTCAGACCTCTCCTGGCCATAAAAAACACTTTGCCACCGACAGTTTGCCGCTCTGTTCATGTGTTTAGTCTGGAAGGGGGGCGAGGATGCTCAGTGGTCCATTTATATACAACCGCACCGTAATCCACAGGTCCACAGCGTTGGCTCATTTCGTATTTCTGCTGGTGTCAGATATTTTGAGCCATCTTTTCTTTCCAGGGTCATTTGTCCAGCACCTCCAGAGAAAAACTGTTTCCTCTCTCATCTCTGCACAGATTATATGACTGCCTCCTGCTCTCTCCGCCTGATCAAAGGGATTTTATGTCTGAGCTTTTTTTCTAAAATAACATCAGGTAGCAGTCCAATCAGAGGGCGAGAAGTTAGATATTAGTGATAAACAGCGGTGGACATTTTACACAGACTGTGAGTCAGTGTTGCTGCTCATCACTGCCTTTCATTGTTTAATAGTTTTTAATTATCATTGTTATTTTTTCCAGTAAAAAACGCAGTGACGTCAGCGGCTCCGGTTCCGCCTCTAATTATCCAATCAGCAGGCGGCTCCAGGTGTTGTGCAGCTTTATCATCCTCAGGTGTGGCGGCAGTCTGCATCAGCTTCCAGCCGCTCTTCGGTGCTTCCCGGCGGGCAGAGAGCAGCGCAGTGGACCGGAGCATGGCGGCGGCTAACGGACGGATGATGATGGCCTGGGTTTGGCCCGCTTTGGTGATTCTAGCCCGGCTCAGCACGGCAGAGGAACGGCACCGGGACGCACACGGAGCTCTGGCCGGCTCGGAGCCGCCGATGGAGAGCCGCAGCGGGGGAGGCTTCCTGCCGGTGCCGGTGTGGAAGTTTGTGAAAGGTAAGAAAGTGAGAGCGAGTGTGTTCATGTGGAGCTGCTCAGCCTCTGCTTGGAGGGAAATGTGCGAACACGTGAAGCCAGCAGTGAGTTTAAAGTGTAAAAAGCCAACATGTGTGTTGCAGACGGTGCGGACGCATCAGACTTCGGCCGCCCGCAGTTTCTCTGCAGCGACACGTCGCTCTCTGTTCGCTTGTCGCTCATCCGACACTCGGACCTGCGTCTGCAAGGTGAGTTGGATTCCTCCTCCTGCAGCTGCTGCTGCACCGCCTCACTCTCCACAGGCTCTGGAGGCTTCCTTTGGTTTGAGTTCAATCTTGTTCACGCTGACGCATGAAAGACACGCTGATTGGCCAATCTGGATAAGGGACAGCTTCATAACAACCTCCAAGAAGGGAGTCCGTGGAAAAGCCAATGTACAGGTGTTTTTCCACACGCCTTCTGCCTGACTGTAGGAATGTTGTTACCATATGAATGTGATGTTATCATGGGTTAAGAAATGCAAAGGCTCCTGGGGTGGGTTTTTGTTGGTTCAAGCCTTTTTCTCCAAATGAAATCAGAAGTTCTTAAATTGTGTAACTGCATCGTTCAGGCGGACGAGTGTTAGCTGGGAAACACCGTTTAATTCTGTTCAGTGCTGCAAAATGATGCATTGTCCTTAGTCAGCAGAAATCTGGAAATGGTGAGTTGTAATTAAATCAGGAGCCCAACTCCTATTGGTCCATAGAGACGTAAATATGAAGATGCTGCAGAATGACCAGCAATCCAACATAACTGCATCATGCTAATTGGATATGTGAACTGTAATAAGGAGCAACATGAAGTATGGTATTTCAGTCCTGAACAGAAAGCCTCTATTGTCAGTGTATTCAGGAGCCAACAAGTTTCCGAATGCCGTTCCTGCTTGATGCCTTCCAGTCAGACACGCACTGCAACAGCAAAACGTGAAGCACACCATGAAACCTGCTGCACACGAGGGATCAGCTGTGCAGTCAAGTGCACGAGTCAACAGCAGCAGCTATTCTCAGGTCTCTGGTTATTAACGTGTGAGTAACCACTGGCACACGGGGAACAGACTGTCCGGATAGTGAGCGCTGATGTGAGTCTGCTGTTTGTCAGCACTCCCGCTATGGTGAAGCAGGAAAACATTCATAAGCTCTTGACCTCACTGTCAGATGGCCTGTTGTGAACTGGTGCTATGTTGAATTGAAAAAGTTACCAGCAGCTTCTGCTTCACATTAGTTTTCTTCAGGAAGTGCAGATGTTGCTTTGCCATGTTTCAGCAGCTGTGGTGTTGGTGGACCTGCAGAGACGCTCTGTTCAGTTGCTCAGATTGGCCACAACAGGCTTTTTGGAAGTAGTGATGCTAGTGGCTGGATGTAGGCAGGGGCTACAGACAGATGGGAGATGTTTGTGGACAGCAGGGAGTTGGTAGAGCTCACCTTGAGCACCGTCCCAGGTGTCCCACCAGGGCCAGCAGCTTTCCCCTGTTTGCTGACCTGAATGTTCCATCAATGTTTTTACCTCAAACCGGGAAAAGAAAGAGTTGAGCTCCTGCCAGGGAGGCATCGGTGGTGGTCCTTGAGGTAAAGCTGCTTTTGTAGTTTGTCAGGTGATTTACTTCCACCACACCTGCGTCACTTTCTAAAGCTGTCAGTAATGCTCCTCATGTGGGAACGTTTGGCCTCTGAAGGCTCTCTGCAGGTCGGCTCGAGCGCTGCTGCTCAGGACCTTTAACCCTGACTGGAAGGCAGCAGTGTTTGGACTTGTTTCTTCATCCAGGGTTTCTCATGAGGAGAAAGCCGAATCATTTGGTTCACAGCAACATCTTCTTCACAGAATGTGATGTTGAAAAGGAGTGTTTTTATGTTCTTCTTGGTCCCGATGTAAAAATAAATCTCACTGTAGTTTGTAGAAAGCAGTCTTGTAGTTGGGTCAGACTTCCCTTCAGCCAGGTTTTATTCAGTTTTATTTGTATAGCCCAGTTTACAACATGTATCATCACACAGCGCTTAACATAGTCGGGTACAGACCTCACAGGTTTAAACAGAGAACCAACAGTCCAGAGCAGCCTCTGGACTTCCTCTGAGCAACGGTGGGAAGGAACCAAACACCTCCGACAGAACCAGGCTCAGGGAGGACGGCCATCTGCCTCCACCGGTTGGGTGAGAGTGGGGATGGAGGGGGGACAGGATAGCAGATGGAGAGCAGCAGTAGAACAGAACAATAGATATGAATAGAAGTGTTCTGGGAGAGGAGAGGAGCCCAGTGCATCATGGGAATCCCCGGCAGTCTGAAGCTATAGCAGCATCACTGAGGGACAGTTCAGGTGATCCTGAGCAGCTCTAACTATCAGCTTCATCACAGAGGAACGTTTTCATCCTGACCTTAAAGCACAGAGGGTGTCTGCCTCCAGAACCCAGACTGGGAGCTGATCCACAACAGAGGAGCTGATAGCTGAAGGCTCTGCCTCCCGTTCTGGTTCTGGAGACTCTGGACCCACCAGTAGACCTGCAGTCTGAGAGCGAAGGGTTCTGTTAGGATGATAGGGTACCATGAGGTCTGTAAGGTCACATGGAGCTGCTCATGGAGAGTTATTGGTCCTAAAGGGGGCCTTGGTTCCTCCTGAGGGGGGTGCAGAGAGACGCTACCTGATTGGCCCAGGTGTGCAACAGCTGTATAATCATGTGACACATGACCATGCGTCAAATAGAAACGAGGCATCTCACCTGCACAGAGGAGAAAGTGGAGGAAAAGGCGGCGTTGTGCCACACATTCCCCAAATTACAACAACTTTGCAGCAATCCTGAGTCTCGGGGAGGAACGTTTCCGTGGACGGTTCACGTCACGATGTTCAGCGCTGTGAGATGACGCACGTTGTGAGTCAGTGCTAAATAAATCAACCTGATCGGATCAGTGCCAGCACTGGTTGCCTAGTAGCAAGGCCAGTGCTACTGTTTGCTACAAGGTGTCTGCTTTATTTCATCAAGCACAATGTTCAGGCAGTGAGAGTTTTCATCCGCCTGATATCTCACCTGCAGGCAGGTAACAGTCTTCAGCCTCTACATCATCCAGTCAAACAGAAAAGGTTTCATTAAAATGGAGTTCAGAAGCTTCAGATGTTTCATTGTGTTTTTCCACTTGTTCTTCAGCAAATAGCCTCCTTGTTCAGGCTGTCCACAATAACCCACGATGGGTGACTTCAGCCAGTTATAGGGCTTCTCCTGACAGGTGAGAGGGGGAGGAGCTTCATACGATTGAGCTTATGAATGTACTTTATTTTAAAACAACACCTCGTCTCCACACTGACTTGAGTTTTACAGGTTTAGACATGAACTCTGTCCCTCAGATTTAATGTCTCCTCACAACATGAGTTTCAGCTGCTGCTTCCTTTAGTTCTTTATTTAACCAGGAGAAGCCTCACTGACGTAAAAAATCTCTTTCAAGATTGTTCTGGCCGAGACAGGCAGCAGGACAATAGCAGGTCACGACAACATCCATCATGCACATGGTGAAATGACGTTTAGAAGAAAAGAAATCAACACATCAGCAGAGGTCAGAAACATAACTCGTAAAATAATCACCTGTCAGAACATCTACAGACTGATGGTTCTGCCTCCAAGTCATTTCTAAACGCTTTAAGTGTTTAAAGAGAGCAGCTCTTGAAGTTTCAGGTCTTTTTGTGAAGTGTTCCAGGTGGAGGAGCAGCGACTTTAAAAGCTTTCTGTCCCTGTTCGGTTCCAGCCGTAGGAACAGACAGCAGCAGCAGATCCGTGGACCGCTGACTGGAACCACGAGGAGCTTTTATACAAATAAAAACCTGTAAAAAACGAGGAAGCACGCCTAAAATACATTTCTACATTGAAATATGCCGGTGTTTTTTCCTTCGTTTGGTCAAATCTGACCATCCAACACGAGAGTACAACAAACAGTGATGAGAAAGAGACTTAAAGTTGGTGATAAACCTTAAAGCACCGTGATACACTGGATCTAAAACACTCGGAAGCATTCATATATACCGTATCTCCATCGTCCAGCGCAGACATAAAAGTGGCAGCAACAAGTCTGTTTTTGGCCTCAAAGGACAGGCAGGACTTGATTCTGAAGCAAAAACCCAGTTTCACTTTCAGTCTCTCTGCCAGCTGCTGGATGTGAGGCGTGAAGGAGAGACAGTCATCCATTAAAACTCCAAGGTGTCTCCACTGGACACGATGTCCATCTGCACGCCCTGAGAGGAGGTGATTGCAGGCAGGTTCTGTGGTTTTGACTTGGAATTTGAGAACAACATGAATTTGGTTTTGCTTGAATTTAAACAAGTTTTAGATCAAAAAAATTTGACTGGACGATGTTAAAAGCAGTTTGCAGCTGGTTCTGGTTCTGGTGCAGATGCTGAAGTGTATATCACTGTGTCGTCTGCATAGAAATGAAAACTGGCATTGGAAACTTTATCAGTAATATTATTTATGTATATGTTAAAGAGGAGTGGTCCTAGAACCGACCCCTGTGGAACGCCCGTGGTCAGTTCTATGTGAGAGGTAGCTGTCAAACCAGGTGGCAGAAAGCAGAGAAAGTCTGATTCTGAAAAGTCTTTGTTTAAGAAGTGTGTGTGATCAGCTGTATCAGAGGCTTTGGATCGGTCGATGAAAAGAGCTGCACAGTGATGCTCACTGTCTAGAGAGTCCATGAAGTCATTGCTGACTTAGTTGTATTGTGTGATTTCCTAAAACCAGATTGATAAACAGATTTAATATTGTTGTTGTTGTTGTTGATAAATTCCTAGAGCTGATTACTGATGAGTTGTTCCTGAACCTCGGCCTGGACAGACAGTTTGGAGATGGGACGGTAGTTATTCAGTACTAAGGGTTCGCCCCTTTAAACAGGGAGAACATGCTCGGATTTCCATCTTAGATTAAAATATGTGTTAAAGGTTGGAGCAAGTAAGTTAGAAAGTAAGGCTCTAATTTATCAGGACCAGCTGATTTAGAGGTGTTCAAGAGTGAGAGTCTGGACGCTGCCTGACCTGCAGCCAGTCAGTGCTGCTGTCAGTTTTTGTGGCTTCTGCCCCGGCAAGGTTTCACTCATGAAGCAAGTCTGCTCAATGAGAAGTGAACCAAGGACTGTTCTGTCCTTTAACTCTGAAACGCTTGAGAGGAGCATGCCTATTGACAAGATCAGTAAAACCATCATAGAAGAGTTTCCAGGCGTTTTCCACGTCAGCAATAAGACCGATTTAGTCCCATTCAGAGTGAAACCGCTCATGAAGGAACCCTTGTTCAGAGAAGTGCTTGATAATGATGGAAGGTTGGGTTTCTGGAACTTTTGTGTATCTAACAGTTGTACTGACACAGTGGTCACTGATGTCATCAGCACATACAGACGGGGTTGCGTGTTCATGTGGAATGCTTGTTATAAGAAGGTCGATTAAAGATGACTTATCAGGAGCCTTCGTGTTGCCAACAGTCTGAAACAAGTCTAACGAATCGCAGGAAGCTTTGCCGTCGTCAGGTTGCAACCAGTTCCAGTTCAGATCACCCAAGATTACTACTTCAGGAAAGTTCAAGCCAGCTGAGCTGCAATAAAGAGGGTCGAGCACCACAATCAGCTGATGGTGTCCTATAGCGTCCAACAACAGGTCTGTGTAGGGATTTAGACCCCTCAAGGTCCAACGCTAACAACTCAAACTGCCTGCTCACTGCCTTAGAGAGTCGTACATTCACCTGACATGTCTTCTTTGTAGAGACTGCAGCACCTCTTCAGAGACGGTCAGTCCCGTACACGTTACAACCATCAACATGAATATGTGTCACAAACCGATCTGGTTCGCCATGTGTCTGATCAGACGATCACATCTGCATTAGCTGACTGTGCTCACATACGAACCATGTTAGCGATCAGACTGCGTACGTTCCAACGAAATAAACCACGACCAGTTTTAGTGATTCCAGTCAGTTTGGTTTCATAGAATTGTCTCCTAGTCTGTAAAAGTGAAACACAGTTCTGCAGTTTGTCTGTTTTATTCCATTATTTCTGTACGGTCTCCAGTGCTGCCGCCGTGGCCGTTAAACTTACAGGGAGCATCATTCTTCCTGCGACTCATAAAACGGAGACTTTGAGCTGTAAAGTTTCTCTTCTGTACATTCGACCACAAATATGTTTGTATCTGAGGAGTGTTCATGTTTGCTGATGGCAGCTGGATCATTCACACATCTACTGATGAATTCTGCGTTTTCCTCAGCAGGTGAGTCGACTCTTTGTTTTGCCTGTAACACGTTTTAAGATGAAGTGTCCTGAGAGAAGAGGCGAGGCTTCGTTAGTCAGCGGTCATGACTTCCCTCGTCAGTGAGTTACTGGTTAGTTAGACCTGAACCTGTGCGTCAGTCGGCTCTGCTCAGCTCAGTTCTGTGTTTCGTTTCTAGCTGCTTTCATTGAACCACAGGAAAAAAACCTGCAGCGGGTGAGACCAGAACCACACGAAGTTTTCTTGAGTTCAACCTGAATATTCAGCGTTTTCATTCCCGACCTGTGGCAGCACATTGAGACCAGTTCATGAAGGTTTTTAACTAACTGGTTCCGTTTGAGAAGCTTCTGTTTCAGCCACATACAGGAGTGACCTGGTGTCAACCAAACAGTGACTGGCTATATGGAGCTGGTTAAAGTGCACAGAAACCAGGCAGACTGTGTTTCATGTTCAGCTTTAATGTTCATTTTTACTCATCGTTTTGAGACCTGGAGGCGCAAGAACCAGAATGCACAAAGCCTGGACCAGCTGAACCTCATGATGTGCGTCTGAGCTGCCAGTCTGAAGAAGTCATGGTTTGTTTGTTTTTTTTTTTTTAAAGATTTATTTTGGGGCTTTTCCGCCTTTAATGATAGTTGAAAGTGAAAGAGTGACAGAGAAGCGTGGGGAGGAGAGCGGGGGAATGACCTGCAGCAAATGAGCCTCTGGCTGGAATGGAGCGGCTGTACGTGGGTCGCCCGGCCAACCCGCCGAGCTGTCCAGGCGCCCGTGTAGAAGTCATGTTTAAATCTGTGGAAAGTGGATTTCCACGGTCGCTTACTGTCGGTACATGACGTTGCAACGCCAGGCGTGTCTCACACCAAACCACGTCCACTTTGCCTTGGTTTGCTTCTTTAGTGTTCTCACATGTGAGCCATATGGAGCAGTTAGGTGGCCTACGCAACGTTCTGCAGTTACCTCGACATCGTCTCTACATCACGGTCCAAAAACGTTCTTCCTCCATCGTGCACACCTGGTGTCAGTAACTTGGCAGTAGAACGCGCTTCCACCAGCGCCACCTGCAGTGCAAACATGTATTGCAGCAAAAAAGGAATGAATAAACAAACACACAGATGAATGGCTGTTCCATCATCTTCAGCTGTCTCTGAGCATTTAAAGTCAGTCATGATGCAGAGAAGATGGTTTTGGTCTTTCAGGGTCACATCTTCTCTGATCTCACACACGAGCAGGAAGTGTGTGACGATGGAGGCAGTTGGAGGATGTTGATGGAAACGATCCTGCTGTGGGTGATGCATAGCGAAATATTTCCGTGAAGCTGTTCAGCTGTGTGCTCTGAAGCGGTTCTGATGGAGATTTCAGAAGCATCTGCAGATGTTTGACTTCAGCTCCAGATTCCTGCTGAAGGTTTGGTTCCATCAGACTGAAGATGTTTAGAGGCCTGTTCAGATCAGATGCAACCATGAGCACACGCCGGTGAAACGGTTACATACAGCATTTATTGGTCAGCTGGCTTTTTGGTTCCTTCTCGCCCTGACTGCCATCTTTGGATTGTTCTGTTTAAATGGGTCGGGTCTGGACCTGACTGTGTTACGGCTGTGAATTGTGGTTACAGGTCAAACTGAATTCAGAAGTATTCTTTGATTTCTTGCCCGTGGCATCCATCATAGCTGTGATTTCTGACGATGTGTTCCGTATAATCTGTGTTGCAGTGAAACTTCAGCTTTCCCAGAATGCACTCTGATGCTCATGCAGCACCTGCTAACGCTGTGAGGCTGCTTCACCTGTAAAGCTCATTTGCATCCAGCAGGCTCCATGTGCTGCTCTGGTCCCTGAGACACAACTCGGCCTCCATTTGTCTCCTCAGGATTTTCACAAACACAGATCTGAACTGAAACCAGTGCATCAGAGTCTTATGGAAATGATCTGCATCAGTACTTTAATCAACATCTACATGTGCATCGCAGCTGAACTCTTGAACAATACATGAGCTTGAAGCAGATTTTTATGTATTTATTAAAGCCTCAGTGAGCAGGATGGAAACAGAAGCACTTCTTTTAGTAAATCAGTTCTGAGGATGTGACAGAAAACTACGGTGCTTTAATGGAATCAAGTCTATACACACACACACACACACACACACACACCAGTGTTGTCAAGATAATTACACACTAGCAACTAATTTAGTTTTACTCTTTTTACTACAGAGAAATCATCTTCAGCCCAGGAAGAATTCAGAATCCATAAGGTAGCTCTGGACACTTTGTGTGAAGTTGAAGAGTTCTAGGTTTATAGTTTCATCGTTTTCCACTTTTACCTGAACATTTTAGTGACTTCCAGTGCTTAGATTTGACTGTTTTTAATTTGTAAGAACAAAAATACTTGTCAGTTTTTTCTAAAATGCAGTGTGGAGTTATTTCACACGGAGTCAACGTTGTGACTGTAAGAAAGTAAAGTCTGGCTCGACTCGCATTGTCGTCGTCATCGGCTTCTTTCTGAGTTTGTATATTTACTCAAAGTTTAGTCAATTTAACTAGAAGTGCTCAAACAGTACGTCAGTATTTTAGGAGCTGTGAGCACACAGAAGACTAACGACGTCAACGGTTTCCATTTCCAGGGTAAGTTGAACAAAGAGGAAGGATTTGAAAGGTTGGGAAGGAAATGTTCAATGAAATCCCAAAGCAGGACGCTGGAGTTTAGTGATACATAAATGACATTTGTGAAAAGAGCAGCATCTTAATTCTACAGTATGTAGTCATTTTACATTATTTACAGGAACTACAATCCTGCAGTAGTGCCTGTCATGGTGTCATAAACACAGCAGCGTATTCTAATTACTGTAATCACAGTACTTTATAGGTGCTGTGAGTAAACTGACAGCAGGGACACTGCAGAAAGTACTACAGCAGTGAACTTCTGCTGCCAGCTACTGAGCGTTTACAGGGTTTCTAGATGCGTCGTCTCAAAGAGCTGAGTGATGGTGGGAGACAGGACGCTAACTCTAATCTGTTCTTGAGCTCCGTTATCGGATCCAGTGACAGATTCTGCTCATGTCTGAGTGTCTTCACGGTTTTGAACACCAGACTGCAGCTCAGCCCGAGACCTGAACCCAGCTCCTGTTCAACAGAGTCCAGGCTGAAGACGCAGCAGATCGAGCTTTCAGTTTCCCCTTCAGCACTGCGGTTCACTTCACAAAGCTCTTAAAACCCACCTGTGCAGACAGCAGGTGTAGAAATAGTTCTTTCGCTGACGCTTGGTTGAAGGTTTTATTGTCTTTACTGATGGTTTGTCTCTTTCAGATTCTATTTTCAAAAGTTTGGCACCTTGAAACTCCGATTTCAAAAGGTGCTGTAGAAGTCGATATTATTGGGGGAGGAGCAACAGAATGGAAAATAATTCAACTTCCATGCTTCTGAAGTGTTACTTTGAGTGTTTCAGTAAGAAAACTGTGATTTGTGATCTGACTTGTGAAGCAGGTTCAACAAATCCAGGCTTCTCTGTGTTAGTCTCGACTAGAGATGCGCCGATCCGATACTGGGTATCGGTATCAGGCCGATGCTGGACGAAATTTCGGTACCGGATGATTTCCTTCACATTGGTAACTGTCCGATCCGATACCGCCACACACACACAATCCTGCCTTCTGACACATCACGTGTTCGTCTGCTCATTGGCTACAAGTTTACAGCATCAGAGAGTGTCTGCAACCCGACTGGTCGAATCTACAAGGGTGGGACTTGTGCGGACCGGTTGACTGTCTGAGACACTCCATTGGCCCTTCAGGCTGTCACTCACCCCCAAAGCCCTCCTATTGGCCAAACTAGGTGTCAATCAAAAGCTAATACCCCCGTCTGGCTGCCTGTAGCGCTTTAAGCGCGATCTGAAATAGATTCAGCCTGATTTTGCCAAAAGAAATGAATAAAACAACCGGAGCTGATCTCAAGCTGGGAAGACATTACTGCAGAGTTTGTGCCTTTGAGGATCTAATTATTTTACGGGATGATGTTGACTGGTTGTGTCCGGACAGAATGAGACCAAGCTGGTGAGGAATGATCGATGTTTGAGCTGCAGAGAGCCTTCAAAAGTAAGAAAACTCCGATTTTAACATGTTGCTTTTCTGTACAAAAAGCTCTTTGTGTCAACGCTGTGGCTGCTGCAGGTCAAAAAGGTTTATATCATCGGAAAGAGGAGACTCTGAGAAGAGACAAACAGGCTCCTGAATGTCATCTGCTGAAATAGT